TAAAATCTTTTCAACAACCTCATTTAAAGCCACCATTTGTACATTCTATGGCTTTATAAAGATCTTGTTAGCAAACATAACCTATCATTTGGTCTTGTTTTGCTGTCGTAGTTCAAATCAATTATCATGCCTTTGTTTTATTCCCAATTTGATTACAGGCTGTCCGTCTACCTACCAATACATATGATTGATATCGAATGTGACCAGGGGATGCTTACCCTGCTACAACCTATCCAACGTCTGTTATTCTAAGGGTCTATGTTTTTCCCGTTCAAGATTTTTATTGATAAGTATGTAATTTTTTTTAGTTTGGTGATTACTTTTCATCATTTTAATCTTTTCACTGGGTTTTGTAAGTGTTATGCGTTATAGTGATCAGGTTAAAAATGAATGAGGGGCTGTTATACAAAAGAAATTACGACTAAGACCAAAAATTTTGCTTGTTTTAAAAATTAATAATTTTGTCTAAATTTTCAAGCTTAAAATATCTTTAAACATTATTTTAAAAAAAAATAAAATGAAGGAAATAACGAACAGTATTCAATATCAAAGTCCATAAAATAGTACAAAATAGGAGCAGAGCAAAAACAGACTCCCAACACATCAGAGGTGGGATCAGGTGCCATGGAAGAGTAATTCCCCCCACCGGTCACACCCGCCGTGTGCTCCTTGTCATGATCGGGAAATAACGGAAAAATCCGTCTTCAATTCAGTGTTTAAATAATGGACTAACAATAAGTATGAAAAACGTCAGTCAGCATTTGACTCAATGATAAATCGTATTTGCTGACAAGGTCATTGTATCGACCATAGAACTTATGAAATGATGACTTTAAACGAGACTGCTGATATTCTTGTTTCATCAACTTGTTTGTCAATAATTAACCTCGTTTTAGAAATTGTACAAAATGTAGAGCATGCTCTTGCGTATCGAATGCACTGAGATATATAAACTCCATATGCAGGTGATGAAGGTATATTGCTGCATAATTAAGGGAAGTTGACGATAGAAAAGTAAAATTCATCACGTTTATCATAGAGCTTGGTTGTTAGATTACCATTAGCGTCTTTTTCATTTTTTTTAATTTAAATAAATAGGAAAATTATAACAAATTACATTTTTTGTTTTTGTGTAAAAAAATATTTATTTGTAAATGGGGCCCCCGAATTCTAAATATTTACAAAAATTACACATAACTGTTAATTTATAGGCTATCTACAGCTTTTTTAAAGCGGCTAAAAAGAAACTTGTTGCCTCTTGCTAATTATCAGAGGAGTAGATGGATATCATTTTATCTAGAACATTTAATAAAAGATTAAACGAGTGAGTCCAGAATTCAATTCATAATTAATTTACTTTGTGACATTTAATTAAAGCTCTATTTGTGTTAGTTCTTCGATTTTCGGTATTTTAAGGAAATTTAAGGGGGGTTTTATAAATAAATTCTTTTCTTAAATAAAAAAAAAAAACAAGAAACAGTGGTTTACTGTTACATTGCCTTTAAAAACCATATCTTAGTGTCTATAAAGTACAAAACGTCAGATACAACCAAATCCATAAAACCGGTATTCTCCTTTCTCAGTTGCACAAAAAATAAATTAATTTTAAGACCTTTGCGTCCAAAAAAAAAAAAAAAAAAAAAAACAGATTTCCGACTTTTTTTGGGAAAAAGCATTTGGGCTTGAATACCAAAAAAAAAAAGCAAAAACAAAACCATTGTATAAAAAAGTAACAATACAACTAAAAAACTCTGTTTATTCATAAATTAGAGGGGATGGGAAAGGGTTTAAGAATACAAAAGTTTATATAATTTGCATTAAAAAGAAATAAGACAATCATGCATGCATTTGACAATGGAATCTTGCGAAGGAAATTTATGTGGTTGAAGTGCTGTTACATTATTGTAGTTACCTTTGTTCACATTTTCAGTTATTTAGCTGGAAAGGCATAAAGAAACTATGAAATAATTCATAGAAATATGTTCTAAAGAACTTTAGATTTAACCATATCTTAAAATTGTTCCACTATTAGGACTATCATTCGTTCCTGACCTTATCCCTTGAATTTGCCTTACATCGTGTGGAACGAAGGGCATTGGGTTTCCAAAATACTTTCCTTTTTTCTTACAGACATAAAAGAGGGAAGATAAACCCCGTCCTGATTTTCGGGGACATTCGTTCAGATATTCTTAAGATCAAAATGTCAATTTCCGAGGACAGTTGTTCAGTTTCCGTCTCCACGCTTCGTCTTTTAATATCTGACTTAGTACTTTTAGGTTAGGATCTTGAATTGTGGAAATGAAATTCATGAAAACGATTTTGGGAAAAACTACGTGACCCTGATGTTGCCATGATCGTCGTACAGATTGTGATGGCGAAACAGAAGACATTTCTGTAGAAATGATCGTGGCATCTGAAAAAAAAAAACAAAAATATTTAAAACAAATAAAATCTCAAATAAGAAAGTTTAATACTAGACTAAGTAATAACATAACGGTTAAAACTTTTAACTTTTAAGGACTTTTTTAGGAAACACCATTACCTTTTGAACATTAAAACTCTTATACTAATTTTATATACACTGAATCTTAAAGTACACATGGTTTTTTACTCTTTGTAAAAATATGCCTTACCTATTCTGTACATTTAAACACAAATGTAACTGAGTTTTAATGTTGTTTGTATTGTATATATGATGACATACAATTTTACTCCTACTTATTAGCTGTGCGTAATATGATAATTTACGTTATGGCAAATGTCCTTAATTAGGGTCCCCATTCCTCAGATAATTAAGAGAATCTCATTGGATGAATAAAAAGAGTAGTACCCATTGTTGACAGATTATTTGTAAAGACACACCAGTAGAGACCATTAATGGAAAGTCCGTCTAATGAATGATATGTCATTGATTGTTTTTTATAAACTATTAGGATCTCAAAAGCAAAACCCTTTTTTTGTTTAGAATTTTTTTTCCACTTCTATTTTTTTCTAAACTAAAGGCCCGAACAAAAAACCTTATAATTTATATAACTTTTTTCAATACATATAACTAATGTTGAAAATGGAAAAAGTTACTGTGTATTTGTGTTGTATTACCAATCAGATGCTAGAATACATAACATTGTAGATTATGATATTATGTCATATAATTTGAATAGTACTTGAATAAGTTACAACATAGTACAGTGACAATATTAATTTTTTAACAAAGTAATTTAAATGGACTTTTCAGTGACTAGATGTCAATTTTATGTATGCTCATGTACAAAAACACGTGTAACCTGAAAAACAAAGACAGTTTCTATTTGTTCCCAAGTCTTCAAAAAAGATTAATTACTCTTTCCACAATTTGCTTTTTGAAATCTAAAAAAAATGTGAATAATGGGTGGAAACACCATGTTTAATCATGACACGAAGGCAGGGATTCTAATCATTTCCTGTGACAAGAGCCAGGGAAATTTTCGATTTTTCTTTTTCTGTCACTAATTAAGATTTATATACCAATTCCTTAACAGTCGCAATTGACTAGCTACACCATAGTTTTTTAAATTTTCCCTTTTTTAAAAATTTTTTGCTATGTTATAAATATTTGTATTTATTTTTTTGGATAAGACCACATATAGATGCCCAAAAAGCAAAGAAAATAGGGGGTCTGTGGACCTACTAGTTACAATTAATTTACCCTTTTTTTTACTTATTTTTTTTTTTTCTTTTGTTTAATCACTTTAATCTTTATATATTTCATTTGATGTAACTATGGCGATAAATAAATTTATTTTAGTAAAATATTTTTAATAAATTAATATTAAAAAATTGAAAAATGCGCGTAAATTATTGTGTACCTTTTGCACTAAAAAAACAAATTTTATGTATAAAAAATCTAATGGGCAAAAAATTTTTTTGTATCAAAATTTTTACGATAAAGTGATTATCAGTAACAAGTATCGAGTAGTTTAAAATAATGAAATGTATTCTTCTATATGAAATACATATGTACTGAACACTAAGTCTTTGTTATTATTAGAACTTTGATAACGTATGGGTGACAAATCCATGGGGAAACTCAATTTGTTATTATAAAAATATGTAACAGTATTTACCGCGGGGCAGAAATTGAAAACTTAAATTCTTTCGCAGCAAACTCTTTTATAATGTTTGAATTGGGTAGTTTTCTCAAACCTTTCTTCGTGTTAAGTAGTAATCCAATTCATCTTTTTGAGTATGACAGATGGTGTCCTGAAAATGTGCAATAGGGTTTCACATCTTAAAAAGAAATTGGACAAAATCTTCCCTCCTCAAACCCCTCTTACCCTCACCTTTTAGAGGATGAAGGAAGATGCGCAGTAAGGTTTTAACCTTTTTTCAGTTATTCAGAAAAATCATGATCATTGTATGTTATTTTACGTCCCTTTCGAATTTTTCTACTCATATAGAAACGTCACCATATATATAACTATACTCTAAAAGCTGCTTTAGACTTTACTTGACACTCAGGGCCATTTAGCAATGGGAAATCTTTATTGTGCCAACGACTGTCGTGAAACTAGGCCTAACATAAGTTCAATAAGATCCCTCATTTGAAAAAAATACAACTTCAAATTCCAAGGGACGATTGCTTGGCGGAAGTACAAGTCGCTGCCTATATTTTATCGACTTAAAATACCCCATATTCATTCGACATGATTTACATACCTCAGTATATTTTACTCATATGTAAATTTACTCACTTGTGCAATTTTTGTCGTATGAACGGATTTGCTCATACATGTAAATTCTGCACAGTTGAGTAAAGTTACACCTGGTCAGGACTAGGTGCAAATTAACTTTTGCATACATGTTGTCGCAAATTATTAGTTCTTGTGTGTAAACTTTGTCGTATGAACACGTAGCAGATTTACTCAGGTATGTATTTTGTTTTGTTTATTGCATAAATCTCCATTTTAAGTGTTGTTTCGGTTGTTTATGCATTGTAAAGTGTATAATATCAGTCTGTTAACATGGCGGCTAGAGAGCAAAAGAAAAAAAACTTGATTTTTTATGGTCGTTTTTGTACTTCAAGGACAGCTGAAAGTAAATGAGTTTTGATAAGGGTACTGCTTTAAAGGATACGCCAGGTTGTACTAGCATAGTTAGTACTTTCCACAAATGTTTTTTTCAACTCTGAAAACAAGGATCTACGATATATCTCCAGTCTCCTCTGAGATAAATTTGAATATGCACCCTTTCTGGCCAACCTATGATTATGCCTCTAAGTTATAAAAATATAGCTGTGGTCGCGCAAACATGTGTCCTGCAGGATCAATAAGTTGTCCCCTTACTATTTAAGTAGTCTTCATGGGAATGCCCCGGAGCTGTGATAGGAATAGGCATTACATCAATCGCCCGAGCCCCATTACAGATTGACTTTCTTCTATACCTTTCTTTGTATTTAAACCAAGGCAAGCTGCTGACATATAAATTAATGTTACAGGAATTTCAACAACACTGTTGAAAATAAGCATTTTTAAGTATTCTCCTTGGCACCTGATCCCGCCATGAATTTATAGGGGATTCCTGTTTATTTCCTTTTATTTTCATTCTCCTGGAAAATAAATGTAATATTCAAGCAGATACTTCATAATGAACTCGCAAACGTGGTAAACCTTAGATTTCCAAACACCAAAAACCTATGCTGCCTACTACTACCGAAGTTATCGTTACTATTACTATAGATACTACTACTACTACTCCTCATACTATTCCTCGTAAGTACTAAAGCTCAGTGACTATCATGACCAGTTTGTGTTGTTATTAAAGGGTTTATTTATATTACAAGTTAATCAAAAAACAAGTTTTATGTTTTTGAAATTTTGAAAATACATATTATACCAAGTATATTGCAACATTAATTTTTAATAATTAAGGGAACAATCGTACAATGTTAATGACATATAGGATTTCTTATCAGAATATGTTGGAATGAAATATGTTGTCGTACCGATAGACATGATAATAATTCTAAAACATCACCAGATGTCAAATTTATGATGAATAGAATATTTCCCTTTTTTCAGGATAGAGGGATCGAAGGACAAAATATAAAAAAAAAGTACATGTACATTTTTTTTCAACATGAATTTAGCAGATTTTTGAAATCATGTATGAAAGGCATACATGTAAGCCTTACAAGTAATATTAAAACTGATTATTTGTTCTTTATTTTGTTCTTAATTTTTTTGCATGTAACTTTTCCCCTAAGAAGCGTTAACATATTGGTTTAAGTACTAAGGTCCGCTCATTGGTCTGTCTTGAAGTCTTTTATTTTCCACCAACAGGGGCGCTGTCATCGGTGGAGCTGTTGCAGGTGTTATCATCTTCTGTATCATCGTAACTGTCGTTATCATCGTCGTCTGTAAACACGTGAACAGGGGCAGAACTCTTATCCACGGGACCACCGGGGGCACCACGGTGACGACAGTTAGTAATTCCAACACCATGTACACCCATCCACAAGGTAAATATTCTTCCACACTTTTTCATGATAAAATTATTGGAAAATTTCGTTTTAGTAGCTGAGTGCATGTACAAGGGATTTTTCGAGCTAAAATAAGATCAAGTTCACAGATATGAAAATGTACTATCCCCCTATCTTCTTTAACAATATTATACAATTATTTAATGCCTGAGCAGTCAATAGACCAGAATATTTTTCCCTCGGTGCAGGGAACAGCTCAGTGTGTTCTATTGCCCGAGGCCAGCGGCCGAGGGCAATAGAACACACTGAGCTGTTCCCTGCACCGAGGGAAAAATTTTCTGGTCTATTGACTGCTCAGGCATTAAATAATTGTTTTATTACCTAATTTTATTTTCCGTATTAAGTGTTCACAATTGTATATTCAGTACAGAAGGTTCCCGTACCATATTGTGAATGTACTGTATTATTAATTAAAGACTGATTGTATAGATATTGTTTACATTCCTCTTGAAAATTTTTCACTCTTATGGAGACATCACCATTTCCCGGTGGAGAGGGACCTGTTTCGTGCCAGCAGAGCACCTACTGCTACACGGGACGGTCTCAACGTCCCACAGTGTATTATAATTAAAGGAACTCTCATTAAATAAAATACCCTACCATTGAAATCATACAATTTTTAAAACCAATGTCGAAAGATCAAATAAGATGATTGTTTACCATGTCTGTGCATTGTTACAAACAACTAAATTCGAAACCCGGATCGTTTTTTTCCGAAATACGTTACCGGTCAATAGAACGCGCGTTCTATTGACCGGTCAATAGATCGGTTTGAAAAGATAAGAAAAACTGAAAACACTTACAGAATAGATGAAAATATTAAATCTCTAATAAAACAGCAAAATTCTCTTGATTAGGTAATAAAAGATATTGTTATATACAGAACTCAGCTTTTTAATGAGAAAGACTTTCTAATCTTTACGTTATACGCTTCACATTTTTTTAAATTATAGTAACGGCCGGTTATCCACCTCCGCCACCAAGTTATAGCAGCCCCGGTTACAGCAACCCAGCTTACAGCAACCCCGGGTATCCTCCGCCAACTTACAGCAACCCGGCCTTTCCACCACAACCGCAACCGGCACCGGGACCTAGCGGCAACGTGTACGGAAGCATGTTTAGCGATCCAGCATCTAACGGTCTCCCACCAAAAGCTTAACATTACATGGACTTCTTTTTGCAAACAGCAAATGTCATTTATAGATTGAACAATATACCTTTCAGCAATCAAAGTCTATGTGATACTCATTCAGTCATTGATACATCTGTCGATTTATAATCTATCTTTTTTAATGCTGTGTATATACTTGTACCCGTTTTATAACAAAACTCCGTCCATATTTAGTATTGGCCAGATGTATGAACATAAATGCATGAGGTGCTTTTTTTAGAATTCTGCGCAACAGATTTGATCCTGGAGATTTGTCTAATTAGGTGCCACGGTCATTTGCATAAATTAATTTATACTTATATCCTGGGAAATGCTATATATGTGTTAGTTCGTTTTCAAAATATTCCACGTTTTTTTTTCTCTAAATGTGCCATGAATCACACAGGATGTGCACGTTGTATCCTGTCATATCACACTATAAATGTATAATTAGAATAAATGACACAAATTACACGTGACATAATTATACATTGTATCAAGCAGTGCAATGCACGATATATATATATTTTTTCAATTATTTTTAAAAAAACGTTTTTAGTATTTAATTTTTGTTTTGTTTCTTATGTGTATTCTTTCATTTTGTTTTCTTAAGAAAATAAAGTTCCTGTTGTATGAAATTGTGTTATATATATTTGTTCTTTAGACTTATTACTCTCGACTCTTAGCTCAAACATTCATCCCCGGTTGTTCGTTTGCATATATCACAGTGATAAACATGAGAAATAGTGCGTTTGATTCAACTCATTGTAATTCAATATCTATGCAAATGTCTGAGGTTTGAAATAGATATTTGCTAAATCAATCCACACCTATTAATTTAATTTGAACCAAATCCTGCAAAAATCACGTTTTATACATTATTTAAATATTTTGACGTGAGCGCAACGCAGCGGTGTTTGAGAGAGGAACGAAGGACAACTCTGCATGGGAGATTAAAACTATTTTTTTTAATTTTGCGTTTGACATGAAATTATATACCTATTTATTTATTTTTAGCTGTAACAATACATGCCATTTGATTGGATAAAAGATTTACTCTATTTCGGATAACATACATGTAAGTTGCTACGTAACAACATGAACACGTCAATTACATATTACTCCGCTTGACATTAATTTTGATATATAATTATGCTCAATTTGAAGCCATTTTTAGAGGAAAAATTGTCTTATTGACTACATTGAAATCAAATTTTAACGAATGATCAGAAGCTTATTTTAACCTACGCCTTACGATATAAAACATAACATGGGACAGTTTAATATGCTTAAAGCGTAATCTACCCCAAGTTATCACTCGAAGCTCCTCGGACGTCAAACGTGTTCTATCATCTCGCTGATTCAGTCATGTGATCTCATTTGAATTTCGTTCAAATGCTATGCTTTTGAAATCCAAGTTACTGTGTTGTAGGCCCAACACTATTTTTTGCTTTCAATAAAAAATAAACCTTTTCTAAGAACTTTTTGTAGAGTATATTTATTATGCAACAAAACCTTCTACAAAGCATTGTTGATTTAAGGAATGATATGACAACTCTGCTAATTGTGCGGATAATCATTTAAAACATTAATGTGATTCTGCCATTGTTCTTGTAGTCATAAAATTTGAATGGAGCCGTTGGTTATAATAATAATTACCAGTCCGATAATATATTGACCATCAAGTACGGCAATGATAACAAAATAGACGGTTTTTTTTAAAAAGCAAAAAGAACAGTGAAAAAATGCTAAATATGTCCAAAAACCAATAAAAATGTTTGAAAAAAAAATTCAGGGAAAACAAACGCAAGGAAATTTAGTTGCTACAAAATAGCAAATCCATGAAAAAAATGGAGTTAATTTGAACCTCCCTCAAAATTAATACTTTCCACTTTTCAAAGGTTTTTTTTTTTGATACAGCACTTTGATTACTGAATTTAAATTCATTGTCTGAGAAGGAATTTGCAAATTTCCTAATTTTATAAGGCTTGTTCCCCGATAAAGGCATTTTTAAAACCTGGGAACTTTAATTATATAAACTTCAAGATGAAAATCCGCATTTTTTACTTTCCATGGTGATGGCAATTATAATATCACTCAAATTATGTCTGCGTCAATGTAAATTTATGCACATAATAAATTAAAAAAAAATGTTCCAAAATAAAAAAAAATCCTTCACCACTGAACCAATTAATGTCCTGTTTAGCTAAACGACTACCATTGAATGAAAGAAATGAAAAAAGAGTTCATTCACTGTTTTTACTGTCTCGTTTCTTTTATCTACTTATCAGACGGGTAGAAAACAATGGATTCTTGAATCCCATGTGTAATTATCGGACTCCTCCAGGTAACTTTTGGACATTTAAATGGCAATGTTTTAAGTATGATATATGCCTCATACTTTTCTATATGTACATATCCATTACTTATTGTTTATATGGAATGATATGACAAAACTGCCCTTTCTGGTATTTTACAATCATTGATCTTATTTTATGCATAAATGGAATTTGCTCTCTTATTTCTATGGTTTTTAAGGCTTAAATTTTCAATATTAAGAAGATTCCATATACTTTTTAATATTTTTATGCCAAAAACATTTCTCAAAAAATTAAAATTATATTTTTATTTAATCTTATTCATTCTTGTGCATTTGTCATGAAAGACTTTTCCTTCTGGTAAATTTTGATTATTATTTATTTATAAAAGTTAACTCTCACTTTATGAAATTCATAAAATAAAAAAGATTAATATTACGTACAGCAATTGATCTAAATCCAAAACTACTGACACCAAAAATTTGTTATCATGGCATAAGATACGGACCCCGAACATTTTAAAGGAAGAGCAGGTGGTTAGTAGGAGAAAGCCTCTCCTGGTGACTGGTTGTGATCTCTTTGTACTGACCGGATAATGGACAACTCCAAAACAGTAAAACAAATCCCTATAAACAAGTCGGCCTAAAACGACCCAATCATAGGTTATTATCCCTAAACTTTTCTGCCATCAACTTCTCTTGCTTATGCAGCAATATCATCATGACCTGCATACAGAGTTTATATATAGATCATTTAATTCGAATGCTCTATGTATGAACAATTTTTAAAACGAGGTAAATTAGTGACAAACAAGTTGATGAAACAAGAATATCAGCAGTCTTGTTTAAATTCATCCTTTTGTAATATAGTCGATATAATGGCCTTGTCAGCAAATACAATTTATCACTGAGTCAAATGCTGACCGACACTTCTATACTAAATTGTTAGTCCATTGTTTATACACTGAATTCAACACCGACGGGTTTTCCAATACTAGTATTTCCCGATCATGACAAGGAGCACGCAGTGGGTGTGATCAGTTGGCAGGGGACGCTCACTCCTCCATGGCCTGATCTCACCCTGTTTTGGAGGCCCGTGTGTTGCTCTACTCCTATTTTGTATTATTTTATGGATTTTTGATCTTGAATACTGTTTGCTATCTCAAAAAATTACAATAAAAACAAGATGTGTTTGTGAAAACTGATGCCCCAGTATGGCAGCTTATGGCGAAGATTGAACTATCCTTAAACAGTTAAATGTAAACTTATTGGAAATACAATTCTGAAATATAAAAGTAGGTTTAAGTTTTTTCAGCAGCAGTCAAAAATCTCAAAGGTCATGGTCAAAAGATAAAGGTAATTGGTGTCCAATGAAAGGTCTTGCCACAAAAAAATACATATATGTGAAGTATGGAAGTCCTAGCCCTAACCTTTCATAATTTATTGCCAAGGTCAAAAATTTTAAAAAGTAGGTCAAACTCTAAGTTCAAGTTCAAAAGGTCAAAGGTCTTACTATGAAATGAAAGGTCTTGTCACAAGGATTATCTATGTGAAATATGAGATCACCAGCCCTTAGCGTTCAAAGGTTATAAGTTATGCCCAAGGTTAAAGTTTTGTGATAAGAAATACAATCCCCAAGGTCAAGGTCAAAAGGTCTTCACCTGCTCAAAATTCAGAAATCATGGGCAAGGTTTAAAATTTTAAAAAGTAGGTCAAACTTCAAGGTCAATGGGTCTTGCTTTTAATAAAAGGTATTGTCACAAGAATTAAATAATAAAGTATGAAAGAACTAGCCCTGACCCTTTAAATGTTATGGTCAAGGTTTGCCTTTTAAAAGTAGGTCAAACTCTAAGGTCAAAGGCTCAGGGGCCAAAAGTTATTGGTATCCAATGAAAGGTCTACTCACAAGGATTATATACGTGAAGTATATTCGTTTAGAAATTTAATCAAGGTTACAGTTTTTTCATAAGTACAGAAATCTCCAATGTTAAGGTCAAATGGTCAAGTATGTTGCTATCTAATGAAACGGCTTTCCACAAATAATACATATCTGAAGTATAAATGTCCTGAAATTTACTGTTAAAAAGATATGGCCAAATTAAAAGTTTGGAATTTTTGTGTAAAAGTGGGTCAAACACCAAGGTCAAAAGGTCAAATTTGGTGATACCCTAAGAAAGGTATTGTCACAAAGAATACACGTGTGAAATATAAAAGTCTTAGCTCCACTAAATGAAAACTTATGAGAAGGGTTAAAGTTTTTGCAAAAACAGACAGAGAGAGGGGCAGACAGACGAAGGAGGAGGACACGACAAAAACATCCCCCAAATTTGTTTACGGGGGCAAAAACAATGTATTTATTTCACCAACTTAACGTTTGGAGCAGAGGAATTATGTATGTATTTTTACTATTATTCATTAGAGCCCCAAAACCACAACCCGTGATCATGTGGTCATGAAATTATTCAAATTTTGGAATAGGTACCATTCCTCATCATAACTATGTTCTGGGTTTTTTCCTTAATGCCAAGGAGAAGAGGAGAAGATTTTAAAAGAAACAAGGCGTTTTCATTAAATCTATTTATAATAAATTTGGGGCCTGTAAATATTGACCGTGGGTCATGAATTTAAAATTTGGGTAGAGGACACAATACTTATTATAATCATACCACCATTTGGTGCTTCATGTTTGGGAGCAAGAAAAAGATTTTTAAATTTTTTAATTTTGAGGGTTTTAAGCCCAAACCCTCAGGTCCCAGGGGCACAGGGTCAAGAAATCACAAATTCTTCTTTTCCCACCCATATATGGTTTAGTGGTTTCATAGAAGAAGTTAAAAATGCACAATAACCCACACAAAACAATAGCAATAGTCACCTGAGGAAAATTGCACATCAATAGGAAAATAACCATATTTTTAGTATGTTTGCTTAATACCAAGGGGCAAAGAAATTTTTAAAATTTAAAAAAAAAAATTTCACATACATAAAAATCCCCACCCAGGGACTTTGAATTTCATCTTTTGGTAGGCTCACCTGCTCATAATAACCATGCAATAAGTTTACATTTTTATAAGGATGCTAACCAAAAATAATTATGAATAACCCTGAAAATCTAAAATCTATAATCAAATTTGCTGTATTTAAACAAAATTGGAATGTATTAGATATTAAGAAAATTGAA